AATATTTTAATAATGAAATGGAGATCTTTTTTAAAGTTTAAAACCTCATTTTAATCTTATGTCTTATGGGGGTTATACGGAGTACAATATTGTATAACTGTATCAATTCAACTGTAAACCTAAAAATTTACAGCCAATTTTGAAAGAGATGCATCTTAGCTCTGGAAATTGTTATTGAATATGTCAATGCTGTTGCAATGAAATGCTTCTTCTAATTATATGGTTATTAAATAAAAAAAATAAAAAAATAAAAAAAAGTACTACAGGCCAGACTGTGACACACATCTATAACTTTAAGCACTTGGGAGTCGGAAGCAGAAGGATTGCTTCAAGGCTGTGCCTAGCCTGGGCTTTACTTTGACTTCTATCCAGGTCAGCCTGAGCTACTAAGTGAGACCCTGTCTAGAAAACTCAAAATCAAAAAAATATAAAAAGTACTACAAAAGCCAGGCAGGGTGGACACACCAGTAATCCAGCAGCATTGGAGAAGCTAAAGCCAGAGAATCTGAGTTTGAGGCAAAGAAGAAAAAAAATAACGAAAAAAGAGAAATCCCCAAACTGCCACCTTTACAAGCATCTTTTTTACAATTAAACTCTTTATCACGAGTTGCAGGACCTTCAGTATCCAGCCCCATCCTGCTATGACATCACCACCTTCACATCCCCAGAGGTCCTGGCACTTGGCTGGCCTGCCTCCTTGGTGCCTGCCACACACCTGCTCCTGCCCTTTCTGCCCTTCCTCCTGGGCAGAGGCATTTTGCTGGCTCACCCTGCAAAAGGGCCTTCCTTACCCTTGCTTCACCAGTAGCTACTCGTGCAATCATAGCTTCCTCACTGCATTTCTAGGCCTACTGGTCTTATATACATGTTTGTTTGTTACCATTTATCTCGCCAGACTAAAGGGATGTTTTCATAACAGCATGTATCCCTCCTATCCACTGCTGTCTCCTCTCCTGAAACTCCAGAACAGATAAAGTGCTCAATAAACACTTCAAGAATGAATAAAGAAGCCCCTCACTGGCCTAAACCTACTGTTCTTAAAGTTCAAAGGGACAAAGGTCTGGAGGCAGGGCTGTGTACATCCCAACCCTAAGCCAGCCAGCTCCAAGTCAACCTGGTCAGACCTGTGGATATGGACAGCAGGTTCAGGAAGCATCACCCTTGTTTGGGGGTTGTGTGTTGTGAGGGTACTTGGTACCTTGAATTCGTCTGAGATCTCTGACATGAAGGAAGAGATCTGCTTCATAAGGCGGTCGATACTGCTCTCGCTCCCTGTCTTAAGGAGGGTAGTGATGGCCAATGTGGCAATGCTGCGGTTTGAATCTGTGACCAGGTTCTCCAGATCCAGATTGCAGGCAGTCACTGCTGATGGGTGCTTCATGGCAACCTATGTAGGGAGGACAGAGATGCAGTGCAGCACCCAATTCTGTCACTTCACCTATAGGGTGGGCCTGGTCAGAGGTCCTTTGGGGACCACATCTACTCCTCTCCCAGCCAGGTCAGAGGGTGGAGTCACCTACCACTAGTAGATCAGATCTGCTTCCCATCTGCCCCATCCTCCCCAATCTTCCCCATCCCTAGACTATTACCTTATTGAGAGTGCGGACTGCAGCATAGCGGAGTGCAGCCTTGGGTGAGCTACAGAAAAGCTGGAGCACTGCAGGGAGACAGACACATATGCCAGGCTGCTCTTGATCCCAGGCAGTAGAACATCTGGGGACTCAGGAACAGCATGGTACCAAGGGTGAACAAGCTCTCAGGTCAATCACAGGAAAACCCTCTATTCAGCTCCCTGTTGACAGAACTACTTTGTCCTGCACCTTCTCAGTGAGGGCCCTGAGTGTCTATCTACAGTTATATACTGAGGTCCTGTCATGTGGTAGCCGCCATGCCTGTCTGATTCTGCTCAACCCCAGGGAACAGCTGCTACAATGACCCCATCTTACAGATAGGGAGGCTGAGGTGTACACAGAAAAGCAATGAAGTGACTTTGGGTTAGCAGCCACTCAGTGGCAGAAGTGGTGTTAAAGGTAAGGTCCGTCCACATCTGCAGCCTGAGCACTTAGCCACCTATCGTTCCATGTTCACAATACCCAATGGCGCGTCCTCTCAGCACCAAGCTTGAGCTAAGCCTTCCTTAAATAAACAGGGTTTATTTCTCTCTGGAACAATGCCAAAGAGTGGAACACCACTGTGTGTGTCAGGGACCATATCCTTTCCTCGTCCTGGCTGCCCCAAGCTCACAGCTAACACTTGTCCTCAAATATAGTCCTGAATGGGGCTGTGTTCTAGAACATCCAAGTTCTTTCCTTTATTGCTTCACTCTTATTCTCTTGCCATTTTTTGGAATTAATTTTTTTCTTAAAATAGAGTAACATTTTTTGAAGCCTCTATTTTATGTCTTTCATTGTCCTGGAAATATAGGGACATAACAGGGAGGAAATAAGTATCCAGCTAAGTTCTTTTTGTGTTTGTCCCCAAGGAGGATGGGAGACTGTTCCTTGTACACATGAACCCTATCTCTGTACCTGATCAAGTTTACATTACTGCTATGGGGAATTCTAGAAAAAGAGAGAGCCCAATCAGTCCCGCTCTCTTGTCATACTAGAGTTCGCTGGTTCTGGGTGGAATGCTCACCCCTCTCCCATTCTTGGAATCCAGTGTAGACAACCTTCTCAAACTCTCAGCATAACCACTCTCCTATACCAGCCCCTGAGCTCCTTAACTCCTGGGCACATAGTCTCTGTTCTCATCCCAATATCAGCATGGCGCAGGCAGATGAGACAGTGACTTGACTAGAGCCCAAACACCACAAGGCTGCTGGACTCTCCTTAGTAATCCATGATGGTATCTGGCAGTGGGCTGAGAAGCTTGGACTGTATCATCTTTACTACCTACAGGTAAGATGGTCATCCACCCCTGCAGAAAGGAAGTGAGGCCTGGAGAGGAGAGTGGACTGCCCAGACTTGCCCATCTGCTAAGAGCAGTGCCAGCGAACCCGGCTGTAAGCTCCAGGGCAGCCCCAGTGAGCACACTGGGCTTCACAGGTCCTGAGCCCCAACCCCAGTTCCTCCTTTGGAGTCGGTTAGCCTGGCAGTGCTAGTCTGCACTATATACCTCAGGCTCTTTAGTGTTGAGAGGGAACTAAAAACAGCCCACCTCAGTCTGACACCCCTAGACCATGGCCTATTTGAGGCCAACTTCTCTTCACGACCTGTGGCTCAGGGCCTTGTGCCTAACAGGCAAAATCTGTGGCAGGGGAGGGACAGGATGGAGACCTGACACAGCAGGAGCCAGCTCTTTAGCACTGCAGCCTGGCAGATTGACGATGGCTGAGGCAGCTTCATACACCACCATCTCGTGCTTATTACGCAAGCAGCTTTCGATGAAGTCAAACAGTGGGCTGTCACGGCTACAAAAGAACATGGCAACGAGAAATTGGGGCCAGTCCAGAAACACAGGACAGAGGAGGCATCATCTAGCTGGCAGGAGATGGGTATCCTTACCTGCCATCCTCTTCTTCCAGTTGCTTGCTGGCCACTCGGATCATCATGCAGTACGCAAAGGGGGACTTCAGCCCGTGCCGGGTAAACTTGCTGATCATCTTACTGACAGCCAGCCGGTCATTCTTCCGTACATGGTACAAAAGTCCTAGAGCATGGTACTGGAAGACAAGAGATAGTAAGAGAAACAGGCACAGAAGGACAGGTCTTCTGTTGTGCAGCCCTGGACTGGCCACTCTACCTCTGTGGGTTGTGGCTGGCTCATTTCTATGAAAAGTGTATCACTCATACCCACAGAGGTACTGTGACAACTGCCACAGGCACTGTGTGCCCAGCCCCCAGCATAATTATGCTCAACACGCCAACCGGAGCCCTCAAGTGATCCAGAGTTTTAGCAATGACCTGACAGGCAGCATGACTACAGATGTGGAGAGGGACACGATACCACAGTTGAAAGGAAGAGCTGCCATGGTAGTCTTTCAGTGAGGAGAGGTGTGGGTAAGACATGAGCATGGACATGTGGGACACAGCCACAAATCCAACAACCCAGAGGATGAGCCTGCTTATCCGTCCCACTCATGGCCAAGCTGGGACTGGAGGGCTAGAAGCCCAGGGATGCCACTTGGAGATATATAGTACCAGAGTCACTTCCTGTTCTAGCTGATCATTCTTAGTCAAGTGGCATTTCAGGGCCAAGATATGGCAGTTCTGTGTGCTTTCCTTGTGATAAGTCTCTGATCCTCAGAGGTGTTCTGAGGGGTCACAGCTGAGCCTGAAGGCGAGACCCACACAGAGTGAAGAGAAAGACAAGCACTGAAGGGAAGGGACAAACCAGATTTTCCCATGCTGAATTACATGTCTTCTTTAATCCTCACTCTTCCCATTTTACAAACAAAGAAACTGAGACTCAGAAGGAAGGAATATTAGGCCTAGGTCACAGAGGAAGGTTTCCTAGATGGAAACCTCATGTTGCTGTAAGCTAGCCTGGCATGGCCTGGACTAAGGTGGCCTCTGCTTGCTGGGACTGGTGGGCTGTGACAGCCCATTCTCTAAAATATGCTCAGCTGCCTATTCACACACTTAGGCTATTGCAGAAGCCACCAGTAAGATTCTTTTGCTCAAGCTCCCATGTGCTGCCCTGGCTTCTTCCTCAAAGGCCCCATCTCCCCTAACCTAATGACGGAAGGATGAAAGCCTACCCAGGTCAGAGGCCACCAGCACCTGAGTTGAGTGGATAATGACAACTATGTGGTACACCCGCCTGTTTTCAACAACACTCTAGCTCACATCTCACCTGTACCATGATGTTATCACTAGATGCTGCCTCTTGGGCCTCGTTCACCCAGCGCTTGACCACATCGAAGCTGCACTTCAGTAGGTGCTGTGGGCGGTAGGACTTGTTAAGGGACCAACAGGAAGGGTGCCTGCCCTGTCACACCCCCTTTCCCCCCTCAGATGCAGCCAGGGGCCTCCTCACTGTCCTGGTCTTGAGACCAAGGACAGTCAGCACAGATGCCATCCTCCTTCTCCCCACCTGGCAAATTCCTGCCCAATCCCAGTCCCAACAATCTGTCATCCCAGTCCTTCTCAGAGTTCTTGATTCTCTTCTGAGAAGACAGGACCCTCAAGACATTTTTTTCTACCTTCAACCCATCCCTGCAGGCCCCTGCCACAGCTACACACCAGAGATATGCCAGGTTAACTTGCTGATCATCTTACTATCAGCCAGTGGGTCATTCTTACATACATGGTACAAAAGTCCTAGTGCATGGTACTGAACCATGATGTTATCACTAGATGCTGCTTCTTGGGCCTCGTTCACCCAGCTCTTGACCACATCAAAGCTGCAATTAAGTAGGTGCAGAGAAGACACTAGGGCAGAGCTGGAGACACTGGGCACCTTGTCCACAATTGCTTGCTTCATGTAACGCTCAACAGCCTGCAGCATGGTACTCTGTGGGAATGGGAGAAGAGTACTCAGTCATGGGGACAGTGGGTACACGGCACAACAAACATTCTCCTCAGAGTTCATGTGTATTACCCCACTGCACCCTTCAGAGAGCTGCAGGCAACCTAGAGTGTGCTCGGGATGAGGCCTCACACGATAGCCTGGGAAACAGGCAGAGGACAGCAGGACTCACATCAGTGATCTGACAGAGGGCTCGCACGGCCGGACCACGGTAGTTGTCTTCTTTCCCAGTCATATCTTTTGTCAGGCTGCAGGGGGAAGGAGGTACTGCTGACATGCCACATCCAAGACTATCCCTCTCCTTCAGTCCATTACCATGTATGCCTGGATTACCACACCAGCATTCTGACTACTGCTCCCTTCTTTTCTCATCAAGCCAAACTCCAAAACAAACAGCAGCTCCAGAGAGTTGCACAAAACTTAAAATGAGAGGTAGGTGTGGTGGCACACACCTGTAATCCCAGCACCCAGAAAGTGAAGGCAGGAGAATTAGCATGAGTTTAGGGCCAGCCTGGGTCACTCACCTAAGACAGTGCCTTCCTAATGCATCAAACAGAGAAGCACCTCACTGGACTGTGCTCTCCTTTCCAAGCCAAGCACATGTGGTGCTTGGCCTGGACCAGCTTCACCCTTCACCTCCACCCCTGCCCTGCAATGTCTTACTCCTTTAGAATTCAGATCATTTTGGGAGGCTTTTTCTGGTCCAACATCAAGTTGGGTGTCCTTTTGCACTGCTATCACAGCCCATTATACTTCCATAAACCATGCTGTGGTCTATCTTAATAGCCTGGCTGCCTGGTTATTTGCTTGTAAATCCTAGGGCTGCAGAGGCCATGGAGTTCATATTTGATGCTACATACAGACTGATATACATTCAGTAAGTATCATCATAAGATACCTGAAAAACGGATGTATGCATCCCATACACACATTAACAGCGGCAGGAAGAAATAAGAGAAGTGAACCTCAATTTCCTTCCTTCTTTCCTCCCCCCCCCTCTCTGAGATAAGGTCTTGCTATACAGCCCAAACTGGTCCAAATTTGAGGCAGTCCTCCTGTCTCTGCCTCCCAAGTGCTGGGGTTACAAGTATGCACCACCATGCTCAGCTTTGACTCAAGGACAGGAGTTATGCATTAGTGATGTCTGTCCCAAAGTTACCCAGCCTAATGCAGAAATCAGTACTTGGTAAGGAGACCTGCTCATAAACTTCTTGTGCTGTTTTTCTTTTTCTTAGCACTCACTAAAGACTCTGAAAGTTCCATGCTGCTCGGGTTGAGGAAGGAGGAGCAAGGAAAGCAAGGTGAGGGAAATAAGAGGGACGCAATATCCTCTGGTGGCACTGCATGGGCCCAGAAGGAAAGGCACAGGGAAGGGACTTTTGGCATATGATCAAAAGTCTCTTCCTTGTACACACTGCCTCTGTTGAAGGGACCCACTAGAGGTGCCACCTTCTGTCTAAGACTTGCCTGCTGGTGACAATGATGACATCCTCTGCGATGCAAGACATCTCCTTGATGGTCAAGTAGCACATGCGGCGGAGTGTGGGCTGGGAAAGACATGGAAAAGCCCTATCAGTGCTGCTCAGTGAGAGGGCCAGAGTCAGGAAGGACTTCCCATCTGTGTAAAGACAGTCCACACCTACTGGTGGTCCTCCCATCACCCTGGAGAGGTGCCACTTCTCCAGGAAAGCAGGGATCAGTGCACTTACATCATTGGACTGAAAGAGCTTGGTCATAGCAAAGAAGGCCTCTGTCGCTTCTGTGGTTCCCAGGTGTTCCCCCTTTGGTAATCAAGAAAGAAGACTCTGTTTGGGACAACAGGTCAGCCATGCCTGATCTTCAGACTCACAAAACACATCAGAGCTGGAAAGTCAGGGGATCTAGGACTGGACTGTTGGCTCCAACCACAGAGCTGTCAAACAGCCTAAGGGTACCTCCCACTTTTCACACCTCTCCCTGAATTCCCTGCCAAGCCTCATCTTATTACCTGGTTTATGAGATAAAGAATCTTGGTGAGGATGTGGGCGCATTTCCGAGGGTTGATGGGAGTTTCATTAAAGACCCGAGCCTGAGAAGAAACAATCATTACCGCCAGCCCAATTTACTTCCCTCCTACCTCCTACCCTCAGTTCACAAAGGGCCTGGAAAGATCTATGGTGCATATAACACATCAGTCTGAACAAATTTATTTTCAAATGGAGTTTTTCTTAAGTCATCTATTGACCATTGGTGCAATCTTTGCTTGTGCTGACCTACTGATTAATGATACTCAGCAAACATAATGAACAAAGTCTTCCTGTCTTTCCATGCACAAGCTCTTTAAACCAGCATTCTACATACATGTGCCAGTATTCTGATATCATGGCAAGTAAGTGTTCATGAAGGATGACACTTGCCTCTTGGAGTACTGCACTCTTCTCAAGGTGCTGGAGCGGGTTGGAGCCTCCACCTATAGTTGAGAAAGCCAATTATAGGTTGTGACTGAATTTCTTAATTTCTCTCTGCCTCTTTTTCCCCCTGAGATCAGTCTCCTATATCCTTTACTGGTCTTGAACTCCATGTGTAGCAGGAGGATGATCTTGGGCTTCTGATCTTCCTGCCTCCACCTCCTAGTTTATGTGGTACTATGGATCAAACTCAGGGCTTCATGTACTCTGGGCAAGCACTCTACCAACTGAGCTACACCCTCAGCCTGTGACCCTAAATTTCAAGACTCTCCCAAACACAGGGGAGGGAAAGAAGTCTCTCTCACCTACTAATGGCAGTCAAGGCTCTACTGTTTATAAATCCTGTTAAGGGGGCTCCCAATGTCCCCAGACCATTTACCCACAGTCCACCCTTGGTACAGTCTTTCTGTGCCTGCCAGAGTGCCATGTCTTGCATTCATTCGTGCAACCAGAACTTAACCTGTGACTAGGTTTCCCTCACAGCGGATGTCACACGTGTGACTACCTAGTTGCTGTCTGGGTCCACCACTAGGTGAGCATTCTAACATCCCTAGTGCAGGCACCGAGGGTCCCGCTTGCTCCAAATACTGCAGTGTCAGGATAGAGCACAGTGCCTGACGTTCAGTAAGTGCGCTGTTTGCCGAATGAATTTAAACCATCATTCGCAGCCGCAGGACTGGGTCTGCAGATTACGCCCATCATGGCTGGCACCAACGCAGCTCTGGCAAATACCAAGAGGTCGGATGGGCACTTCCTCTGGCAAGACAGGAAAACTGAGGCCCAGAGAGGAGCTTTACCCGCACAAGGTCACCCAGCAGTCACGGCGAGGGGCTGCGGGTGCAGATTGCGAAGCACGCTTGGGCCCTGGGAGGACAGTGTGGACCTGCGCACAAGTGCCCGCCCCTCTCTGGGCCTCTGGCTGTGGACGGCGGCCCTCAAAGAGGACGCCCCGAAGGTCCCAGGTCCCTCACCCGACTCCTCGTCCTTCTTGTCGAATTTCTTCAACATGGTGCCAGGGGCGCTCCAGGCAGCACGGAGATTCTCGCAGCAGCAGCGACCGGCAGCAGCTTCTCTCACCAGCGGCTTCCGGACTCCGGCCGGCCACGTCGCTCAGAGCTCTGCGCCTGCGCACTATTCGCGCTGCGTCTGCGCACAACCGCCCCACGTTTAACCCTTTCAGCTCCCGGAGCAGAGAACAGGGACTAAGCCAAGCGGAGCCGGGTGGCAGGGGAGGGTGGGGAGAGGCCACAGTGGAAATGGGCGTGGCCTGGAACAGGGGACGGGCCTGAGGTTTGGGTTAGGCAGTTGCTCACTCTGCTGTGTTGCTGGCGTTTGCGGCTAAATTTAAAGGGTGTTGGTGGCCCAGCACCGTGGCGCATGCCTTTAATCCAGCGTGTAGGCAGAGACAAGCAGATCTCAGTGAGTTCAAGACGAGCCTGGTCTATAAAGCGAGTTCCAGGCCAGCCAGGGCTACATGATGAAACCCCAAAAATTGGGGCTGGAGAGATGGCTCAGCGGTTTAACAGCACTGACTGTTCTTCTACAGGACCCAGGTTCGGATATATAAAATCCCGAAAAATAAATAAGTAAAGAAATTATCAGTGGCGTACGAACGGGAGGGTCTCAGCCCCATAGTTACTTGTCACCTTTTTTTTTTTTTTTCTTTAGTGTGTATGCATGTATTGCCGGCATGTAGGTAAGTGCAATGCCCGCGAAGGTCAGAAGAGGCTGTCGGGGACTGGAGTTAGTCTGGGAATGGAGTTCCTGACAGTTATTAGCTGCCACGTGGGTGCTGGGGTTCGAACCCCGGTCCTCGGGTCCTCTGCAAGAACAGCCAGTGCTCTTAACCGCTGAGCCATCTCTCCAGCCCCACTTATTGTCACCTCTTGGAGGCTTCACCATTCGCTCCTCACTGTCCTTTCTCCTGATTTTCCTTCCTAGCTTGAGTCACCGACCAATACCCTGTATTTTTACTTCCTTGTACTGCAGTGGATAATGTTGAGCCTAGTGGTTGCTCAGTAAGTTCTTGTTGAGTGAATTAATGCATGGAATTGTTCTCTGATTTACATCTGTCCCTGGTATGCAAACTTTGCTGAGCTTGGCTAGCTTTGGGACTACCAGGGTGTGCAGTGAGAGGGGATGCAGGCAGGGCAGCAACAAGCTCTGGATCTGGAATGATCTTGCCTGGGACGGATGCAGATGATTCTGGCACCAATGTGAAATCATGAAACTTGAAACTTGTTTGCATTAATTCCATCCCTTATCCAGAGGAAAGCATCCAGAAGAAGAAACCAAAATTGTTTGGTGTGGTGGTGTAATAAATGAAATTATGGCATATTCATGGGTTGGACTATCCCAGATCTTTTATTATTTTTTAATTTATTTAGTTTTATTTGTATGAGTGTTTTTGCTGCATATATGTAAATGTGCCCAAAAGTTAAGATTCATTATTAAAACCTGGAAATGAAAAAAAAAAGAAAAACCAGCCAGATTTGGATTGATGTGATAAAATGATGGATGTAATACAGATAAACTGTGTGGTTTGTTTGTTTGTTTGAGACAAGGTCTGGTTATGTGGCCCAGGCTGGCCTTTAACTTAGGATCCTCTGGTCTCAGATTCACAAATTCTGGGATGACAGACCTGTGTCACCAAAATAAGTTTTACAATGCCCCTCTGAGAATGAGAACTGTGAATTTTGCCTCCAGAACTATGTATGGACTTAAATATAACTATGGGGTTTTCTTTTCTTTTCTTTTCTTTTTTTTTTCCCTCTGGTCCTTTTGAGACAGGGTCTCCCTGTAGACCCAGCTGGCCTGGAACTCACTATGTAGACCAGACTGGCCTTGAACTCACAGAGATCTGCCTGCCTCTGCCTCCCAAGTGCTGGGATTAAAGGCGTGCGCTACCACGCCCAGCTGGGTTTTGATTTTTTAATGTAATATCCATTTTTCACAATAATTACTAAGTCCTTTGTAGAACTGCAGGGTGCTGAAAGGGCAAGAAAAAAACTAGGGAAATCTGAACCAGGCTGGAAGAGTGTGTCGGTCTCCACATCCTGGTTGCAATAGTATTTTCTTTTTAACTAATTGTGTTTGTCTTTCAAAAATAGAGATATGGGGCTGGAAAGATGGCTAAGCAGTTAAGAGCACTGACTGCTCTTGCAGAGGACCAGGGTTCGATTCCCAGCACCCACATGGTGGCTACGAACCATCCTTAACTCCAGTTCCAGGGGAATCCAAAGCCCTCTTCTGACCTCCACAGCATTGCACGACATGTGTGCACTCACACACATGCAGGCAAAACACTCATACACATAAAAATAATAAATAAAATATTTTAAATAAAAATAAATAAATAAAATTGAGATATAGGACTGGAGAGATGGCTCAGCAGTTAAGAGCACTGGCTGCTCTTGCAGAGGATCTGGGTTAGGTTCCCAGCACCCACATGGTGGCTAACAACCATTTATAACTCCAGTTCCAGGGGATCTGATGCCCTCTTCTGGCCTCCATGGGCATTTCACACACAGGTACACTAACATACATATGGGCAAAACACTCATACACACAAAATAAAAATAAATAAAATAATTTTAATTGAGATATAACTGGTTATTGTGGTACATAATTGTAATCTCAGTACTCAGGACACAGAGACAGGAGGATCAGAATTTCAAAGCCATCCTCCTCCACCAGCCTGAGCTACATGACACCCTGACTTAAACAAAATCCAACACCAACAACAAAACAGGGCCAGTGAGATGACTCAAGGCGACTGCTGGCCTGATGGCCTGGGTTCAGTCTCTGGAACCCACGTAAAAGTGGGAAGAGACAGCTGACTCTACAGGTCGCCTCCACATTCCACAACTGATCTCCAGACATGTACCATGGCATGTGTGAACACACAATAATTTTTAAAGAAAAAATACGAGTTTCAGCTTGTCTTTCATTACTGAGCTTCTGGTGTCATAGCCAAGCAATCATTGCTTATGCCAAGATCATTGTTTCACCCCTCTTCTGTTCTGAGAGTTTTAGCTTTGCCTCTTACATTTTGTTCTTTGATCCATTTTGATTAGTTTTTTAGTGTGTTGTAAAGTAGAGCTTTAACTACATTTTTTCCCCCTATGGAGATACAAGCTATAAAACTTGAAAAGACTCTTTGAGGATGGCAAGACTGCCCCATAGTGTCACCCTTAATATCCCATGTGTGCTGGATAGCTTTAGTTGTCGCCTTGACACACGTGGGTTGAGGGAGCCTCAATTGGGGAACTGTCTCCATTGGACTGGCCTGTGGCCATGTCTGAGGGGCATCTTCTTGATGAGTGATGTGGGAGGGCCCAGCCCACTGTGGGTGGTGCCACCCCTGGGCAGGTGGGCCTGTGTTGTATAAGAAAGCAGGCTGATCAGGGGCCAGGGGAGCAAGCCAGTAAGCAGCATTCCTCCATGGCCTGTGCTCCAGCTCTTGTCTCCAGGTTCCTGTCCTGAGTTCCTACCTTGGACTCCCTGATGAACTGTGATCCAGGAGATGTAAGCCAAATAAACCCTTTCCTCCTCAAGTTGATATTGATCAGAGTATTCTGTCATAGCAATGAAGAAACAAACTCGAACACTGGGTAAAAGCGCTTGCTTCCAAGCCTGATGTCTTGTGCACAATCCTTGGAATACACATGGTGGAAGTCTCGAGAGAGCACATTCCTACAAGTTGTCCTCTAACCTCCACACATAAACAAATGGATAAATAAATGGAAAATTTTCTTTTTTATTGAGAATTTCATGCATGCATATAATGTGTTTTGATCAAGTCCACCTCCCCATTCCCTCTCCTCCAACTCCTATCTTCACTACCACTTCCCTCCCAATTTCATATTCTCTCTCTCTCTCTCTCTCTCTCTCTCTCTCTCTCTCTCTCTCTCTCTCTCTCCTCTCTCCCACCCACAGAGTCCATTTATTGCTGCCAGTATGTGTGTCGGTGTAGAGCTTTCCACTGCAGCATGTGTAGCCAGCCTCTCAGGAGCCTCATCCCTGAAGAAAACGAAGTCTCCCTCTCCCAACAGCCATCAATTGCCAGTAGCTCTGTAGCTAATGATAGGACTTCTTGACCTCTTCTGCTGCCATGCTGAGAGTTTGTCTAGGTTAATCTTGTGCGGGTCTCATGCATGCAGTCATAGCCCCTGTGAGTTCATCTGCAAAACTGCCTTGTTATATCCAGAAAACACTTTTACTGTATTCATTCAGTGCCTCTGGCTCTTAAAATCTCTCTGCCCCCGTGCCACAATATTCCCTTCGCACTGGGAGGAGGGGATGTGATGTAGATGCCTTATTTAGGGCTCAGCACTCCACAGTTTCTTATTTTCTTCAAATTGACCAGCTCTGGGGTTCTGTGTTAATTGCCATCTACTGCAAGAAATTTCTGTGATAAGGGTTGAGAGATTGACTTATCTATGGTTATAGTGACTATATCCACTTAGCAAATTTATAGCAATAGATTCTCTCTTAGGGTCTATGACCTAGCTGGCCTCTGTTTCTTAGCCGTGTTAACAGTGCCATGCACAAGTTCTGTTTTGTGGAGTAGGCCATAAATCCAGTGAGAAAGTGATTGATTACTCCCATAACATTCAAGGCAACATTGCACTAGGGGGCATATCTTGCCAGGCTGGTCATTACTGTAGCTTACAGAGTTCATAGCTGGGTAAGACTGATGAATACTTTTCTCACCTAGTAGTGTACATAGCATCTTCCAGAACTATGAAAGCTAGCTAGTAGGGGTGAAGCTTCCATATCATCCACATCAGCTTATTTCTCCATGTTCCACGACTCAAGTATGTGGGTTCCTTAGCATTAGGTTCTTACCATCAAGTTCTGGAGGAGTGGCCAATAGCCTGTAATGTTTAGAGGTCTATGGAACCTGACTGACCAAAAACTCCAAAAGAAGTAATCCATTTCTGGCACTGGACTTTTTCCTTAATAGCCTATGATGTCTTGGAGATGTAACTCCATTTAAACTCTTTTTATATTTGCATTATATATATATATATATATATTATTTTTTTTAGAAAGCTTCTACATTAGTAGGTTTCCATGTGGCTTTTTCAAAAGTCTTCAGTGTTAGTTATCCCTCCCCA